ATAAAATTATAAATTTCTCTACAAGAAATGACAGGGAATAGAGGAGTGGTAAAGAAAGTAACAAGCACTAGAGACACGCAGGTCTTCCAACATAAATGCATAATCATCTTGGAAATTACCTTTGACCGCGTTTTAATTCATTGGTGAAACCAATTTTTTCCATCCAGTTCTCTAAAAACTTGAATATTTTAAGTAAGAATACTAATTGTTGATGAGATTTTAAAAGGAGTATCTTAAAGAGTCCTAGAGTTCCTAAATTAAGATTTTACGTTTCTCCCTATTTCAGAGGCTTATGAATTAGAGAGAACCTAGACACTTCTATTTCCAGAGTATCCAAATAAAACTTCCTCAAGAGTAATGTAAAATACTTGCCAGAAAAAGTATCAAAGTTCAGGATTATAACAAAATTAGAGGCAAATAAAGCTCGAGAAAGCAACTGGAGAAGAAGGACGAAAAGAGCCATGTGCCCCTTCTGATAGAAGTGTGTTTCACATATGCTAGTTTCTAGGGAGAAAGCACTAATCCTGTATACAGAGGCCACCTCAGCTGCTCCCCTCTTCATCAGAACAATTCATGTCAAAAGTTCCTCTAAGGACAGTTTTTGCCAACCAGCTGTTCTCCTCTCATTGTAGGAAGTCACCTCCTTTGCTCTTTGGCTTCCTGGACCTCCAAATGAGTTATGAATAGACTTGTGCTAATGATACCCTAATAGTGATACCACAATCACAGTGGTGGCAAATGTACTCAGAGAAATTACTGTGTGGTAGGTCTATTAATCACCTTATCAAGTACTATAGCCTTAGGAACATTCTCTCTGTAAGAGACAAATTTTAGTATACAGCTTTACAAAGTTTTCATTTTCACCAGAGAGCACATTTTTTCCAAGCACCTTGGAATAGATATCAATACCAATATCAACAGATATTGAACGCACATTAAGCAGGATAACAGCAGAATACACACATGTGCAGAATACATGCATATTTTTCTTAAACACCTTTTTAAAAAATTAATCTGTCATAACCAATGACAGTCACATAACAACAGGCACAGATCAGTCAACTGTGTAACAAACCTGAATTTTGCAAAGTGCCAGCACATATGCAGAATACTTCACCTGCCCTTCAGACTGTGCTGCTTTGCTTTTCTTTTTGCTTAGTTTTTAGCTACTGCCCCATTCCAGAAAAACACGATGGAGGATATGAGATATATTCTTTCCATTATGCATTCAGCCAGACATTTTACGACTTCCGTAAATATGTATCAAAAAGAAGAAAATGCCAATCCTATGAAAACCTATGCAAAACTTTGGCTCATTTTTATGGTTTCTCAATCTAGCAATTAGATTGTTCAATTCTAGCAGAGTGTAATTCTGCTTCTAAAAATGTACACAAAGATCACACGCAAATTTATTCTACACATTAAACTTTATCAATCTTGGTGCTGTGGCAAAAGGATAAACCTCTGTAAATACAAATATAAACCAAGAATCTGGAATTTTTTAATAAGCATATCCAGTATTCCTCGAAAAAATGGGCCTTAGCTTTATATTACTAAAATGAAACAAAAACAAGGCTTCATTTCTGGAAAATTATGTAATAATGGTCTAGCAAGTTTACCTTATGGAAAATCAGGCAGTCTTGTTACAAAAGGGTTAAAGTTTGATTAATCTTAGATTTATCTTTCTTTCCAAAAATTTTTGCAGCACTTGTAATGTTAAACACCAATGAACCTTAACCTGCTGGACTCATTCAGCAGCAGTTTGCAACCACAGAAGTTTAGATCACAGACTAAAAGTTTACATCACTTACTGTCTCTACTATTTAAAACCAGCTTTTTTTCCCAGGAGCTGTGGAATTAATCTTGGTATATGTTAAACCACAAAAAGAGGCATAAGAGCATGAACTACAAAAATGTGTATTACCTGTTCTCCCATACAAACACAAGAGTTGCTTTGCCTCTATCAAAAGGCCCATGCTCTTGTCCCTTACACACATCTCTAGGCAGCTTCAGCAATCACTGAAATTAATGCTTTCAAGAATAGCCATGGAGCAATTCTTCAATTGCGAATGCTTTAATTGAATATCCATGCCTCCAAGCGCCTTAAGTTTGTTTCAAGGTCCTTTTCTTCATATTACATTTTAATGATTGTGTTCTGTTATCAAGTTTTAATCTATACCTTATACTAAGTTAATTTAATCACTAATTCCATATTTAATATAGAGCTCATTTCAGATACCATTTGCTTAATTTACACAGAAAGGCTAGACGCTGAAAGGTAACTCCAGCACGGCACACAGTAGAAACATCACTGCTTCTTACTGTTCATGGTTCATTGCTTCTACAGGGCTTGAACGTCTTGCATACTCAATGTGCTCAGCTTCTGGATGGGTATACCATTCTTGTTGTTTCCCTGCTTTACCACCACAGGCATGTATTTTTGGAGCCTGCACAGAAAATACTAACTCACCTGCTGCCCTCTCCTTTGCCTTTTCCAGTTGCTAGGCAAAGCTGTCAGTGCTTATGTAGGAAGCAAGTCTCCACACTACAGTGCTGGCAATCAAAAACCATTTGTACAAAAAAAGTTTCTGACACCACTTGCAGACTAAGCACAACTGTACCAAACAGACTTGCTTTGTTTGTTTGAAAGTCTGACTGATTGTTGCCAAGCAGATTTCCTCAAAATGACTGTAGCATTTATTCTTCCTAATTCTGTATTTGCAAAGAAAGGAATGAAAAGGGAGAAGAGAATTGTGCTGCTGGATGAAATGCTTTGAGTGGGGGATGGACTACATGACCTACATTCTTCAGTGAGTCAATGCAGCAGCATCCACGTGGTGTGAATGAATTAATATTGGAGATACACCAGTAATGGATTTCTACTTCCGCAGCAATCCCATCAAGCCTAAAAACTTGCCCATGTTACAATAGCCCCTCTGCTTTTGGGGGGATAGATAGGGTGCAGTGAGAGGCCCTAATAAAGATCTGTACTTTTAGCATCTGCCTCTCATAGACCATCCACATCCACAATTACTGTAGCATGTTTGTTTCACAAAACTTGGCAAAGACAACAGAAAAAAGTGTCCAGGCATACTGCAGCTCAGCAATTATGATTTCAGTAGAAAAGCTGGAGTTAAAAATGCTATTACCTCACACCTGTTCCAGTGTAGCTGCCAGCTTTGTAAGTGAATAGGATGTACTTAACAATACATACAACCGACAGAGAAAAAAATACTTTACAGCAGTTTATAAATAGAGTGCAGCAGCCTGAAATTGTTAAAGCTCAGGACAGCAAAGTTACAACTGGGCATTCATGCCGGTTACAGTGGCAGCGCAGTTGGTATCCTGTTGGTATCAGAACAGAAACAGTCCAGTTTTCAGGTATATCTGACAGAAACAGGTTCAGTCTGAAAGGTCTTATTTCACATCCAGTAATAGTATCTGAATGGATGCTGACAGACACTGCTAAAATTTAGCCCAGCTTCTGGCAGCACACAGAACAAAATTATAAACTTAGGATCTGTTTTCCTTGTTTCCTTCTGTACCCTATCTGTAGTTTAGTGCAGTACTGATCAGATGGGTTTTCTGATCCTTCTCATATATTTAACAGAAACTAAAATGACATTCATATTTCAGTACCTGAACAATTAGGCTCATGAAGTATCTGTCTCTGCCTCACCTGTTACTGGTGAGCAGAATTCACCACGTCAGCTAGATACCACAGTGGTGATATAGAAAAAAACAGCCCAGCTCTAGATGACGCAGACATAAAGGCAACATTTAAACAGGGAAGACAAAATCTGTCAGCAAGACCCTGGAAGAGAAATCAGGCACACAGTAAAGGTGCACAGAGGTAAATCTGTTGACCTGGGGGTTGAGAGTACATGTAGAACCCATTGTGGTAGAGCACCTGAAGAAGGGTCATAATAATAGACAGTAATAATGGTAATAATAATAGATAGTATAACTACCATGACAGGAAAAGCAAAAGGCAGTAAATATGTAAAGGTAATACAGTAAAACCAGAAAGCAGTATTATTACTTTATCTAACATAATTTAAAATTACACTCTAATTTTTTTCCTTTATCCAATACAAAAGAATTACACGATACAATGGGAGGTTTTCCATTATGTACCTGCAAAAGTTAATACTGTGCAAACCTTCATAATTCCAAAGAAAAATCTGAGGGAGATCTCCAACAGTTGTAGCCAAAACTACGCTGCCATCTTGTACATTACTGCCTTTAAAAAAAAGTTCAGCAGGCCTCATCACAGACTCTTTCAACATGTATATAGCTAACTAATGTATTCTCTCTATCATGTTGAACAATAAACATAGGTACAGATTCTCAAGATAACTTCAAAAATTTGCTGGCAGCTCTTAACTTCTAAGGTACAGAACAGAATGTTACACTAAAAAAAGGTTGTTTCTTGAAAGTATTTATTACATTATTAAATTCACTTAACTGAAAAATGTTTCTATGCAGAGGATATTTTTTTCTGTATATCTAAATGTAGAATACCCACCGGGACTGTAAATGGTACAATTACATTCAACAGTTTAGCAAATAAAGAGATGAACATAAGCATATTCATCAAAATACTTAACAAAGATGCTGTATTCTCAACATTTGATTTATCAGTTAGCTTCACCGTCACATAAATTTTGACCAGGCTGCAAAAGAGTTTAAAATAAAAACAGGAATCAACTACATATCTTGTACACTGTGCAATTCCAGGCCAAGTTTATTTTACTAATGAGGTTATTTTACTAAAACAAATCAGGAAACTGACTTGAAAGTGGAATTACTAGACACTTGTTTGTCAGAAAGCTTCTTAGATTTCACTGGTGTCAAGAGGCTTGACAGACCATGCATCAAAAAAGTGCCGCATAGTGCAAGTATTTTTCTAGTCTTCCCTTGAATGCAATCTGCTTTTCTGCTCTGACTAATTGTACTGAAAATAAAACTAATATGTACTTCAAAAATTAGATACTTACAGTGAAAATACCCATTAGCTGAGTGTAAAAGAGTCGACTTATTCCGCCAAATATTATTAGACCCATGAAGGCAGATATTCTTAGGAGAGCAAGTTCGTGTCTAAATACAAACACATCCTAGAACAAGACAAGAAGAGAGAGACTTTAGCAGTTACAAATTAATTTAAGTCTTTGAACCAAGTGGAAATAGTAGATAAGACCTGTAATAGGTGTTCTCAAAGCCTTAAAGCTCAAGGCAAATACTGGATTCTGAGCTACATTGCACATAATTGGTACATTTATTTATGTTTTAAAAGCATAAACCGGTACTATTTTCTTTATACATGTTAACAGTTGGGGGTTTATTATAGCAGACTGTTAAAAAAACTCCTTCAACTAGTTAAGGTTTTGGGAATAGATCAAACTCAAATGGATTATTTCTCAACCTTCCATCTCAAACTGTGCCGGACTACTACACACAAGCTATATAATACAGGACAACAGCTCTGTTAAATGGTCTGATTTATTCTACCTCGGCTACCAGGCACAGCACATTTCATTTTTACATCACCTCTTCTGAAAGACAACAAGCATTCCAAGATTGACACCTGAAGATTGACACCTACAGAGATTGACACCTACAAAGTCCAAGTACCTGTACTGGATTGTTCTTATTTAGTGATGTCTATTATCCAATATAAACTTATCTCCAACTTTTAAATTTTGGCCTTGAGGTAGATTACTGCCACTTTGGATAAGGGTGAACAGTAAAAATGCTTCAGGGCACACAGAAATATGGATGTATTTGATCAACTGCATTGGAAACTCTGTTCTCAACCAGCAGAAAATACGAAAAGCATTACAGAATGTTATGTAATGTCTACAAAGGATAGAGCACCTTATTTTTATGCTAGAAGAACATTTTTATGTGGCAGCTACATTAGGTGTGAGCTCAGACCCCATTTTCTTAATTTTAAGTCACAATTATGTTCTCAAGGCTGTCTTTTGAATATACACATCTGTTTTTCTACTTACAAAAGCTAGATCATGGCAGGAAAGTATTAAAACCTTTCAAGTAAAATTTATACTGAATGAAAAAACAAAACAAAACAAAAAACCCCCAACCAACCAACAAAACAACAAATAAAACCCCAGCAACAACCCCTCCCCACAACAATTCTTATGTTCAACCACTAGAACTTGAGGAAGAAGGATACCGGGTTTTAATTAAACAGAGAATAGTGAATGCAAATTGTTTAGCAAAAAAAAAAAACAAAAAAAACCTGATTTTTCATTTAAATAATTTCCATGAAGATTCAAAATATAAACCCAAGAAAAAACTGCCTCCTAAAGCTATGAGGAAAGCCAGTATTTAAAGAAGAAGTAGAAACCACTAGTTAAGCAGCTAAAAACAAAATCAACCCCCAACAGTCTTTTCTGAACTATTTTAACGGTCCATTTCATCTCCTCTCACTTGTTTATACCGGCCTTTCTTGCTGCTGTAGAAAATAGATTAATTTCCATTTATTTTAATGCTTCTTAATAATTTAAATGGGTTAATTCAAAGATAAATCAACTCAAAATAAAAGCAGTCATACTATTCTTTATTTCCCTTTCCATAAGCTAATGAAAGCTTTAAAGAAAAGCAAGGCAAGACACAACTTCTACTAGTTGTAAACTATTTCTTCATATCTTCATTGTTATGTTTTATTATATTAGAAATGTTTTGATGTATTCAAGCTCAACTTCACAGAAAACAATAAAATATAAGAGTGCCAACAGCAAAGTTCTATTCTGAATCTAGCATGACACTCCCTCATTAGCACCTCCTGCAACTTGAATTTAGAAGAGTTCCTTCTCTTGAACACCATTTTCAGCATGAAAAAAATACATCACCAAACACATGATAAAAGAAAGTCCTAGCATGCAAAAGAGAAGTTGCACTTTCATCTGACTCTTTTAAACCACATTAAACTAGAGATACCTTTAAAGACACCGTTAAACTAGAGATAAACTAGATAGACCATTTAACAGTAAGGAACACAGAATCATAGAATCACAGAATGGTCTGCATTAGAAAGGACCTTAACGATCCCTTAGGCCCAACTCCCCTGCTGTGGAAGGGACACTTCACAACAGCAGGTTGCTCAGACCTCTATCACAACTGGCCTTAAACACTTCCAGGGACAAGACAACCAAAAATTCTCTAGGCAACTTCTTCCAGTGCCTCCTCAGTCTCTGAGTAAAGAATATCTTAATATGTAATCTAAACCTACTCTGTCAGTTTGAGGCCATCCGTCCTTGTCCTGCCACTACATGCTCCTGTAAATAGAAGCACATTATCTTTCTTGTGGGATCCCCTCAGACAAAGGAAGCCTTCTCTTTTCCAGGATGAACAAACCCAATTCACAGAATCCCAGAATCAACAAGGTGGAAAATCATCCTGCCAAAGCCCCCTGAAATGCCCCAAAGCAGTGTCACCTAGAGCAGGTGACACAAGAATGCATCCAGGTGGATTTTGAGCGTCACAGAGAGGGAGACTCCACAGCCTCCCCAGGCAGCTGTTCCAGTGCTCTGCCACCCTCAGTATAAAGTTCTGTCTGAGATGGAATGTCTTGTGCTTTAGTTTATGGTCATTGCACCTCATCATTCTGTTGAAAAATTGGTCCCAATATTGATCCTTTGGGAATGCCACTGACTGCAGGCCTCCTGCTGGACTCTGCTGCACTGATCATGACCCTCTGAGCGCTGCCTTCAGACAGTTCTTGCTCCACCTCACTGTCCATTCCTCCCATCCACATTTCCTGAGCTTACCTGTGAGGATCTTATGGGAGACAGTGTCAAAAGCCTTGCTGAAGCTCAGGTAGACAACATCAGATAGACAACTGCTCTCCCCTCATCGACCTGTCCTGCCATGCCGTCACAGAAGGCCATCGCATTGCTCAAACATGATTTGCCTTTGGTGAGTCCACGTTGATGACCTTCTCTTCCTTTATGTGCTTGGCCACGGCCTCCAGAGTGATCTGTGCCAGCACCTTTCCGGGGATAGAGATGGAGCTGACTGGCCAGTAGCTTCCTATGTTCTCTTTGTTGCCCGTTCTGAAGATGACAGTGACACTGGAGTTCCTCCAGTCATCAGGCACCTCTTCTCCATTATTTTTCAAACAAGATGCAGAGTGGGCTTAGCAACAATATCTGCCAGTTCCCTCAGCACCTGTGTGTGCATCCCATCAGGGCCCATGGATTTATAGTTTTGAATGCCTAGCCGATCTCTAACCAAACCCTCAATGGCCAAGGGCAAGTCTTCTTTTCTCCAGCCTTCCTCTCTTGCCTCCAGGGTCTGAGATTCCTGAAGGATGGCCTCAGTAGTGAAACCTGAATCTATGCAGTAATTCATTCTGCCCTTTCTGTGTCTTCTGTCCCCAGGTTACCCATCTAAATTCAGCAGCATCCCCATATTGGTGGGGAACTTTCTAATCCTTGTTTTGTTGCTGATATACTCGTAGATGCCTTTCTTGTGGTCGTTGATATCCCTCAACAGACTTAATTCCTTGTTGTATCTCTGCATTCCCTGTCCATAGTTCCATATGCCCTCTCTCTTTCTCCACATCCCTAGCAAATGAATTCCAAAGCAATTATGTGCTGGAAATCAATACTGGGCCCTCAAATCCGTACAGACAGAACAACATTTTTCTATAGAAAACTAAAGTATATGTAGTAACTGAGTTTTTTGCTAATCAAACTTTAATAATAGAATGAATTACACAATTCTACACAGGAATAGAAATATTTAGCTCCATGAAAACAGAAGAAAAGACCATTTTAAAAAGTAATAATAATAACAATAATAACAATAACAACAATAATAATAATAATCATAATCATAATCATGTATCTAGGATGCTGCAGCTTTGCATAAAAGCTCAGTGCAAGTTGGTTTTATTATTCCTTTTTAGAACTGACAATAACATTTTTTTCAGCTGACAAAACCAATCAAAACTATAATCAATCAAAACTAGTCAATAATTAACCAATCCCTCTTTCAATGTGTTTTGAACAGATCCTCTTGTTCAATAGTATTCACCAGTCTCAGTGCAATATGAGTATTGAGTTAGTGTGATTTTGGAGTCTGGGGTACAGGCTACTTCTGCTAACAGAAAGGACTGTACAGACTGAGCCACCAAAATAGACACAGATTAGCTGACCTCACCAGCACATGAACACTCAGCTGTCATAGCACAACAGGGTTTTGTTCCACAGCAGCTTTTTTTTTTTTTACATTGTGCCAGGCTGTCATATACGGCCTTGGCACAGATGTTGAATGCACATTCTTAACAACATGAGAGAGCTCTCCTTCAGGTAGCCTCTTTCTAATCTTCTTTATGTCAGCTCTACAGCCTAACCAGTCTGCCAAAACTGCATGTTCACATAGGTAGCTGCCACTGCCTTTCTACTTAGCATTTCCTACACCACACCACACAGCACTCCCCTTTGGCTGCTGCCTTTTCTACAGGTTTCTAAATTCCATTTAGCTGCTACTTCTATCCATCCAGTCAAACTGCAAGGATTCTTAGTTACCCACAAAAATGCACAGAAATGTGAGCAATAAGAATTTGTCACAAAACATATGTAAGTCTAGAGGATTATGTTGAAAAATGGACTACAAACCATGAGATGTGGTATCTTTATCTCAACAGGCAATACTGAAACATTCTACAGAAAGAAGTCTCTGGGATAGATAAACAAGCGACCTCCTCAACCCCACAGCAGAACACATGTCTCATCTTCATTTGTGAGCATCAACCACTATAGATGACTCCTAGAATGAATGGCACCACTGACTAGGACAACAGCTACCAAGGTTTTATGTTATCATACAGGAGAGAGGTCAAAAACCACAACGGGTCCGGCTCTAGATTGTAGTCCATTGTAAGACCAATGCTTCCAAATTCAACTCTCTTTGTACCCTACCAACAATAACAACAAAAAAAAAAGAGCTCAAAAACATGCCATATGCATTATTGTGTTATTGTTTTCAAGGACTTATAAGTATTCCTTTAAAGCAGCACACTGTATTGAGGACAGAGCTTTTGGCAAGAAACACAGGAGTATTGTATCTGCTCCAGAAGAGATCATCTTCATAATTTTTGATTTTATTAATTAATTAAAAATTAATTTATTCAGTCTTTATTCTTTACTGAAATATGACACACAGAGAGATTAATATACAAGAAAATACATTAAAAGACCTCTTTTTTTTTTTTTTTTTCTTGAGGAATGATATTTTGTGTAACACATGATAACCTGGTTATCTGTGCTCAGCTGTAAATGCCTGGGATGTCTGCCTCAGACCGCTGATGAAGTCAGTCTATCTACATGGGTATCACAAAAATAGTGTATAATACAAAAGAAAGCCAAGCTTTTCAGAAAGCAAACTAAAAAACACAGACTGCAGGCTTTGTAGGAAGAAAGAGGAAGAACTTAATATTCATGTACTGTCCTTATAACTACTGTAGGACAAGAGGGTTAGGTTGGTTTTGCAGAATGCTGAGAAGAAAAATGTTGATGCTTTTCATTTTAAAAACCTTTCCTGTCTGGTACATAATTTTGTGATTCTAAGAGAAAAAGTTTCCTGTAGACTCTCTTTACAGTACAAATGGACTTTGGATGATATATATTTCCAGATTTTCATTAATATTAATCAATGCATAATATTAATATTATTGAAAAAAATAATTTTCCAAAGTCAAAGACAATGATTTGTAATTGCAGGAACAGGAATAAAATAAAACTAAATCAGAGCAAAGGGGCCGAGGTTTTTGTATGTCCGGAGGTTTAGCTATGACAATTATTGCAGCAACATCTCTAGCAAACAGAATGTATCAGCAGAATTCCTTTCGCTTAAAAGATTAAAAGCCTTCTATAGATAAGGTAAAACATACTGCCAAAGCATTTACTTTTGAAATTTGACCAGCTGTATCTAGAATCTGTGCCAGCCCAGCCATGGAGAGAGCAACTACGTAGTGATAATTCTAGTGTCAATTCTTCTCATCTCACCATTCAGAAGACTGACTACTTCCTAAAATATACAGGCTACCTGATATTTTTTCATGAAGACGTAAAATTAAGAATATTCCTGTATTGACTTCTGTAAATCACCAAAGCTTGCAGAAGAACCAATATGCTGATTTTATTCAAACAATGTATTTTTCTTGTGCTATCATCCCACATAATCAATTTAATTACCATCTCCTTTATTTCTAGCAGTAATTGCACTCCTCCTGCTGGAAAACAGAGGTAACAACCATAACCCAAATTTCTGGCAGTGTATCAGTTACAAGAACCAAGACTATTATGAAGCAATTTTCTGTAGTAAGAGGTGAAGCTGAAAGATTGCATCTCTACAGAAACAGTTTCCTCCCTTACCTTTAGAGCTATCATGCTTAACTCAGAATAGTTAATTAAAAATTTTTGGGGTTTTCTTTCTTGACCCTTTAAAAATAAAAACACAAGTTTTAATTTGGAAAGAGATACTAACATGCTGGTCAAATTTGCATAATCCATTAATCAGTAATGTAATAAAATTATTATTTCACAACAGCACTAAAAGCAATTTTAATTCTACAGCCTCTGTGGTTTATATTATTTTAAATCTGAAGAATAAAAATTTAGATGAAGGCACACCGCCAAAAAATTCACAAGTCTTTTAATGAGCAAGAATAAGCTTACTCCAGATGGCTGTTTGGAAAAAAAATCATCCAGTTCTTTGAATCTGTTCTAAACACTAGCCACTGTCAACTCAGAAAATGTAAGCTCTCAGTTACAGCCAAAATTTCAACAAAGAACAGTGCTTTTTGTCAAAGGCTGAAGGTACTGCACTCTCTGGAATCCTGTGGTACCTCAGCCTTAATTGATATAAAGGAGATAAAAAGAATCTTGCAGTACACTAGCCTAAAACCCTAACTACTACTAAGCCAAGCTTTTCACCAGTCCTGTTCATTTGATGCCAAAAAGACATAGTTCTGACTAATTATTCTGTGGCACAAATCTATACAGCATCACATCCTTAGCAACTCTTTAAAAAACCAGCTTCATGGAACTCTGCTGTCATCTTCCAAGCAAATATGTTGACTAGGCATGCCAACTATTTTAGTTTTCTCTACTTCACTGTGTGCTCTCCTATTCTGCAGCTGAAAAACTGAGAAAGCTAAACACTATTTAGTGTTACACTGTACTTAATAAAAGTCTGAACAGCCCAGACCTGCTGTGTCTACTGTTTTTCTATATTGTGTAAACATATTTTTCCTCTCTGGGGCACAGAGTATACTATAACACAGATCCACTTTGTAAAAGGAAGAGTGTCATTTGAAGTGTTCTCGTATGGAAATTGATAAAGCCAAAAAAAAATCCACAGATAAAACTAAACAAAACTAAACAGAGCAAAGTAAGTGATTTCTTCCACAGTTCTCTGTAAACTTAGGCAGCCAAAAACAGGAACACGATCCCCTCTTCAGGCAAACACATTAAAATGGGTTAAAATAATTGCTGCACGTGTATTCTGCCTTCTAACCTGTCACCTGTCAAAGCAGTATGTATTAAAACTAGGCCTCTCTCCAAACAACTTCAAATGAATCCAGTTATACTCACAAGAACAAGTTTTATACATATTCATACATATTGTACTTCTTTTTTGAACTGTCGTTATTACTAATTATCAACACCTCTTTAGGTATTGTAAAATATCCAAAGTAAACATGATTTCCATTTCCCTCTCTTGCACAGACCGCCCTCAACCAAGTAACTTGGTTACTTCTCATACTACTTTTAAAAAGCAAGGCTAACAGACAGAACTTTGGCATGTTACCTAATACAGTGTAATTACATGAAGCAATACATTCAGAGAATATTCACAATAAAAAGGAAATACCCTACCATGACATTATACTATTAGAGACCAACAAGTCTGTTTCAGTGCCTATGGAAAGATGCTCCAAGCAGACAGCAAATTATTTGCTTTTCCATATTTCTAAAATTCCTTATATGATTTAAATGGAAGTATTGATGCAGATGGAAAAAATAATTAAATTCCTGGAGAATACAAATTTTTCAAGAATGAGTTAAAAAAAATCGTCAACTTTGGAACATTCTATATAATAAAAACTTGGTATCTATAAATTTGAATACAGCACTTTCATCAGTTTTCAATTAACCAAGTAATAGAGTCTTCCTACACTTTCAGCTCTCCTTTGCCATATCACCTTCACATACACTTTTATGGGAACTTCACACCCACTTCAGACTGACACAGGAACAAATAAGACACTTGGAAGACTATGGCCCATCCTTTTCCAGAAGCAGAATTTTTCACAAAGTGAAATTCTTATATAATGTAGGATACAAAATCATATGACCAACTGTAGTTGTTCAAAAAAATGGAATTTTTTTTCCATTTGCAAGGGACTTGCCTTACCCACAATGAAGGGTCAGGTTCTAGTAGCCTGGAAAGATGAGTATGACATCACCAGCAGGGAGCATACTGGGGTGTCACATCAACACAGAATTAAAAAATTTTCTGCACCTCAGTATTTGGAAAGAATCTCAAGAAAATTTAGAGCGCAATATCTGAGATGATCTTTTCTCTTATGACATTTGGAATGTTACCTAATTTTGAAAATGCTTTAAACTTGTTTTCTAGGTTTTTGCCTTTAGTGTACTTGTATTTGTTATAGTCCAGTACAAATACAAAGTTCATTTCAGATTTAATCTGCAAGTTCTTATGGTTCTCCATAAGCAAGATAGCATAACAATTTTCTTATGAAGAAAGAGTTCTAACTTTGTTGTTCTGGCACTTTCAAGCACTGAGCAACTTTCAAGCAACCTTCTTCAATATTCAGAATATTACAGATAATAGGCATAAATGAGCACCAGATAGCAGCTTTACAATGTAAGTTTCACAGCAGAAGGAAGTCCTTGATTTTTTACCCTACTCCAGTCCCTAAGTCCACTTTCTCTGTGTATACAACTGCTTTTTCAGATGACAAGACATGGAAATACTGTAACTATAGTCCACATGAAACCAAAGTTAATTCTCTCTTAACCCACATAACCTTTTCAAAGCAACAGAAAACACTGCTACAAAACCAATGTATATTTTTCTCCTTGCAGAATTATCATGTGTTTTTCTCCTTTCTTAAAAGAGCAATATCAACTTTTTAAAACATTATATTAGGATAGCTATATATTTTGCATAAATCTACTCTGGAAAAAGTAAAAGGAAATTTGAATACATCTAAAGTAGTTACCTTAATTCTTTCCAGTACTGATAATTACTTCCAAAGAAAGCTAACTGGTTCTTCCCTCCCTTTCCTATATTACTAAGAGAACTAGTGTTGTGTTTTTAACACACAAAGAAATCATATGTCCTTTCATATAAATATTTTGTTACTTACCATGAATCAGTTTGCCTACTTAGTAACATACAGCTAGTTGAACTCTCTTCACTAAGAGTGAAGCTGAGCCACCAAAAATGTGCATTAACTAGAAGCCAAAACAAATTGCATTGCAACACTCTTTGTTTGCTTCACAGAGAAAACAGGTTCTTACCCAGTTGTCTTTTTTCAGAGGCAAAAAGTAGTAGTAATGGCAGAAGTCAAGTATCAGCGTATAGGAACTAAGGATCTGGGTGTAGAAACACAGCTGTAAAAACAGCCAGTGATTGTCTTCACCAACACAATTATTAATCCTGTAGAGAAACAACGTGTGCGTGTATAAAAACAAATAAAGTTATGATACTGTGAATAGAAGACTTTATGATTGCTTAAAGAGCAAACCACTGGATCCCTTGCACCACAACTCAAAGTATAGGCTGCGCTACTGAGATCATCGCTTAGAACAGGAGACACACTTCTCTGTATTTTTATATAGCAAAGATACTGCTGCAACTTTAAGTAAAACTCTAGTAATGAAATTGTTTTCTGAAAGTATGCAAAACTTCACAGTTATATCTCAATACATTTCACAGGTTGTGAACTACAAGAGTGCAAAGACTGGAAACACAAACAAATGTTTTAAAATAAATGTGATCACAGGCTACCCCAGTAACAAAGAAATATGACTTAAAAATGAACCAAAGGCACAGAAGACAATACAGGCATCCCTATTCAGCAACTCCTTCTGCATACTCCAACATGAAAAGAGTAAAGGAAACACAAGGATTCCATCTGTATTAAGTACAAGATCAAAAGTTACATGGATACAATTTCATACAAGCATTGGCACAGACAACAAGCTAAGCCAGCGTGACAAAAGCACTACACTAGTACTATTCTCTGAAGTAGAAAAACTTGACAAAAAAAGGTAGTTTGAAAAATGACTAAACCAACATAAGGGAACCCTGTCCTCTACAGTTTGCCTTCTAAAAATTATACCTCAGAACTGCTTTCAGAAATGTTTATTTTCACTTACTGGTAAATACAGGAAAGCTCAAATTTATTACTTCCTTGCTTTAAATGCCTAAATGATTAAGTACCACTGGGAAAGAAACAGGAAAAATGAGCAGCAGTCAAGACCACAAATTTTTCAGAATGATTCACTAAAACAACAGTAGATAATTAGAAGAAATGTCCTGGTTTTACCATGGACAGTGGTGATCCATCCTCCTCACACAATGTCCACAGCGACTGCAATGGTGTGAACGCTTTGGTCTCATCATATTGCATTTGTTACATAACTCCCAGTGTTCTCGTTCTAGGTGAAAATGTAAAGACATGTCAGAGAGATTTAAACTCAGTAATGTGTACTCATAATAAATCTGTATGCTTGTAACTCTAATTAAAAAAACTAATCTTACTATGATCTGAGAAGGATAAGCACCACATAAAAAGCTTTTTCCCATTGTGACCTTAATAAAACTGGAAGATATTACTGCTACTCCATGCCAGTTTCCATCTCCAAAATGCCTTCTCTTCCTGTAAATTTCTACACAGTAATTATTACAAACCACAAGCTGTGACTCAGACAAGGAAGACTGTAACTCAATTATTTCCTTACATTTCTACTGTGAAAAATTATCTGCTAGACAGAATGAGGATACAACCTCACTGCCACTCCAGAATCTCCTGAGGAAATACTGGTCCTGCTAGCTAACTAAAATATGACCCACAGTGAACACTTCAGGAGCATCTTCCATGTCAAAGCATTTTAATGACAAGCATATCTCCACATGCAATTTTAGATATAAGATAATCAAAGAAAGAGATAGAAGATAGGCTTGTATTTACAAACACATACTATTTTTAAATTACTAATGTGACATTCTTTAAAAGCTTATCTCCAGAGACACTGAGTAGCTGAAAGTATCAGGAGTACTATTGCTCAGCTTGGCTATTATTTATATCAAAATGCCCCACCCAAATTAGAGGAATTCTTTGAAAATGAAAATTCAAATTATATGTTCAAAAATTTCATCTTCACATGGGAAGCAATAAGATTAACACTAAAATAATTCCAGTCACAAAAGCATACATTTTCTGTCTTAAAGGAAAACAGGTGGACGGCTGAAAATTACTTTGACTGTTCAAATTGTTTCTACCTAAATAATCTTTTCTGAGGCACAAAAATTTCTCATATCTCAGGGACAGAGGGGAAAAAAGGGAAAAAAAGCTTAATATTTACACTAGGACAATCTGAAATTTTATACTGTAAAACACTGTCCCAGTGTAAACAAAATAAAGTTATATCTAGCACTTCTGAGCCACCTGCAGGCAGCTCTAATCTGGTCTTTCTTACTGCAAAATAACATTTGGACGCGGGAAGTAAAGAAACCCAGTATCTGAGATCATTAAACTAGTAATAATGACAGATGGAAACTGATTCACAATCTGTTCGCATAAATCTGAGGTCACAAAGGTGTCACTCACTAATAGGGTAGCTACCAGCAGAGTTCAGAAATACCCCAACTCATTTTTAACACAATTTATACTATGCAAAAATGCATCCTCCTGTCAGCCTAGCGCATACCAGACAATTGGAAGTGCTACCTCCAAAAGTAAAATACCCCTGATATACAACACACCAAATCAAAATATCCAAGTCATGACCTAACCTAAATATTTCACCTTTGGAAGTATTTATTAAGTATGACTGCCATATGGACTCAATAGAGCACACAAAGGTTGGAGAGCTATGCAAAGAGATACCTTAAATTAAAAAAAAACATTTGTGTACAAAGGGAATTTGCACTGCCCCTGGTATTTTGAAAGCAAATGAAAACTCCAATATAAATGTAACTGTCTGTAACTAGCAAGTGTCTTCATTATCCAGCTCAGGTTGCAAAATCCATGTTGCTCCTCCTGCAGCAAAACCTATGACTCCAGAACCCAAGTCTGAAACACCTGACGTTTTACTGGATCAAAGGATCAGTTGCCAGAAGCAGAAAGAACAGTGGCATGAGATTTTCTGCCATTAGTGGTAACACATCTGAATCCCAGGGAGATACACCCCTTTCTACAATAGGCTGTCTACTTCATGCACCTCATACCATCAGCACTAAGGCTAAAAAGATGATGTTTCCAAACACATCATCCTAGACTTCCAGTAATGCTGGGAAGAGAGAGCAAAGTTTTACTCTGGGCATTCACCACATCTGAAGACAAGACTGAAGCATTTGCCCTCACTGAATGGGATACATTTTCTTAATTCATGAAGTGTTACCTGTTAATATGAAAAGCTCATGCTATTTAACAGCCCTACTCCATTCTAAACTCCTAAGTAAAAGCTCTATGCATTAGATAAGAGCTCCCAACAGTTCATAAAAATACTGTCATTCTCTGTGGAGAATCATTAAGGTTTTAAAATTCCTTCAGCTTCTGGAGCACTGGATATTGTGGGATAAATTTGCAAGGACAGAAAGGACTTGCTCCATTAAGTTGCCACTTTATAGAAATGCAGTGCAACTAGCACCATGGTTTGGGGTTTTTTGTTAACAGCCCATACAATCATAAGACTCTGGAAAAAAAGAGCAAAAAATACACTGGTAAAAACCAGCATAGGACTACCTTCCACCACCATTTTTAACATTGTATAAATTAACTAAGACAAAAGATATAGAATTAAAATAACTAGCCATCTATAAACATTTTTCATTAAATATTATCAAGTTAGTAACATATGCATTATGTTTGAAAGTCTAGAATGCAAAAGAAAAAACTTTCTGTGGAAAAATTTCCCAGTAGAAGGTCCTACATAACTGAACTTTCTGGCAGAATACAAGTTTAAGAAAAAGAAGTTTTGAAACTAGGAAATGAGGAAAAGAAACTTACAACTTTAAAACAGTGACATATTAACTTTATTCAGCAAGGACAGCTCATGGTTTCCATTAAATCTCACAAAGACAAATTTATTCCTAATTATTTTAAAGATATTAAAATAGCTTTCATTCAATTATATAGAAACAAGTTAATGTACCTGTAATTGGTATCTTTGGATTTTCAGGTAGTTTTCCTGGATCTGCTACTGAGGCTCTAAATAATGAAGCTACACAAAACAATGAGCAGAAGTAATAACCTAAAAAAATAAATACGCATTTGTTAGACTTTTTCATATGTGCAATGTACACTATATCAAAAAATACAGATGCTCCAGAACTGAGCTTGAAATACTCAGCCTGCTCATTCAATTCCAGATATATTTTTGATATTAAGTACACAACATTAAGTACTCCCCAATAAATAGAGTGAAAAAAGTAGTAAACAGTTCTGATAGCACCAGCAGGTGCTACTATGACCATACTACAGTTTTTAAGAAGTTTCTCCACCATCTTACCACACAAGCACCAATCATACCACACCTCAAAGCCTCCATTTGAAAGATATTCCCAATAGTGCATCTTCACCTTGAAGTTTGTTCCAGCCATAATTCAAGACTTTTCCTCAGCAAACCTATCAGCAAAACTTGTATGAGCTAATCCATACAGGAACATATGACAAAACTAATAAAATTTAGTTTGTTGCCAATCATCACCACTATCACACCAAATTCTGACAGGCACTCACAGATGTGAACCTGAAATCATGTCAACAAGTTCTAACCACAGGACCTGAAAGCTACGCACAGGCTTTCCACCAGTTTCCACAAAAACAAGTTCTACAGTAACACCTCCAAAATGAAGTGCCACAGCTTCCCAGAACACAAAAACACAGGACGCATCCACTACTCTTACCCTTTATCTTACCTTTTTTCTTCACTTTCACCCTAGTTTCTATTTTCTCATAGGATTTTTTTAAATGTACATTAAGTAAAGACATTGTTTTATTAGTAGAAAAAAAATCAAAATTACTTACAAAAAACTGACACAACTGAAATATTTCCCTCTTCATAATGAGGAAAAAGGATGACCTTTGGAATGAAGATTGTATTGTACAGCCAGATGAAGATAATTAGGCCCATGCAGCACCAACCCTGAGGGTCAACCACAAAGTGAATTCGTTGCCCCATTGAACAGAAACAGATAATAAATTGCCACGACCGAGGAAGATAATCCTAAAGAGACAAATAAATGAATTTTTTTTAAGGAGTAAATTTACTAGTATAGTGCAATCTACAGGGTTCATACATTCAAGTAAGACAGAGAAAACCCTGTCAGCTGTTGGTTTAAGAAACTACATAAAAACTTCTAAACATTTCACATAAATTTTTTAAGCACCAGGTAGCAAAACATTTTATGAATTCCTTAATTAGTTAAATCTGGCTAAAAAGTAACATTTATCACCAAAATGCAAGTAAAACCACTACCTGGGAAAACTATTAAGCAATAGGTAATACAGCAACTGTCAGTCAGGTGGCAGCAGCAAAGAAAACTCTTCCATCAAAGTAAAAGGGTTGTAAAGCAAATAAGAAATATAAGGAATTATTTATTTCCACAAAGATTCACCCCACCTATCTATTATAGTCTCCCCCTGTATTTCATGGTTGTTGTCTTATAGCTTTTATGCTAAGTCAAGAGTATCACTAAGAATTCAGTGTTTCCTTGCTTAAAATGTCCTTCATGACATTAATAGCAAACCAATGGAGAAAGGAGTCATTACCCTGACATCTTTCACATAGATTATTAAAAATATCACACAATAGAACATTTTCTATTAATCACATTTAAAACATCAAGGTTTCCATCCTTACACTTTAGTGGGGCTGGGTTCCTTTTGGTTTTGGACTGAAGAAACCTCGCCAAGTCCTACAATGTGAACTTCCGAGCTTCATAAACCGACCTCCGTAACAACTCAGCACTTAAGTCCTAACCACCATTCAGCACAACCATCACGGAAGGGATTATTGCTGTTATTTTTTTGTCAGACTACTTTCATACACATATTTTATTACTGTAATGCACACACAAATCCCAATCTACTCTCTTACCCATTAGTTTCCCCAATTTTTGGGCTTCAGGAATCTTGTTCCATTTTTGCTGGTTTCCATTCCTTTCAGCTTCTACTTGATGCACTGAATTTTTGTTTATCAAACATCTCTGTTTCCAAGGGTTTTGCTTACTTATTTCATGTTTTACTGTCCTCAATTGCATTCAAAATTTACTTAATATTATTCACAAATTTCAGTGTCTTCTTTTCTTCTTCTGTTAGATGTTTAATCAAAATCACACCCAAACAAGCTGTCATTTTGCCACACTTCTCCTTTGTGTTATATATAATCACCCTTTGCTTGTTATTTTCTTATGTAACATAGGAGTGTTCCTATTCAGATCCCCACCAAGTATCACTCAGATCCCCACCAAGTTCTTGCAATTACAGAAACCCCCATCACAAGAAGAGAAGCAGACAGAGCCTCAGCTTGTCAAGCCAGACATGCCAAGCCTCTGAGCTCCAGCACCAAGAGGACAGCTCCTGTTCTGCCTGCAGCTCTGATCTACAGAGCAGGTTCTGAGCCCTGGCAGCACACATGGAAAGGAAGGAAGCTCTGTCAAAGAAAGCCTCTGAGCCATCTGCGCCCGAGTCCTGCGGCAGTACCCATACTGGGGTGAGAAACAGCATGGACTAAGGGGCAGTGGTGGGTCCCTGCTTCTGGGACAAAGACACCTCTGCCGGCCCAACCTGTCACCCAGCAAAGTATGCTGCTTGCCAGGCTCCTGGGTCCTGGATGCCATGGACTGACTATTACTGAGGCTGGTAGTAGTCTGGCCCTTAGACTACCACCCTCAACTAGTCTTCCATTCAGGCCCCATGGACACAGCTAGGGGAGACCAGGAGTCTACCAAGCATGACTACAGAGTTAACAGGGTGTCAGCCAAAGTCTAGTAGCCAAATGGTGTCTCGTTTATGCTGCTGATGAAGGGGGAGAACTTGAGTAGAAGCAGACAGATCCTGCAAATGTGCAAGTGGTTGTGCAACATTTACATCCATAGAATCTTCTATGAGGCCCAAAAACTGAGGGTGAAGGGGAACAAGATCCACCTGAAATTATATGGGTAAAAGCATCTTTGCAAGAGGCTAGTTAATCAGCTTGGAGAATGCTTTAACAAGGAATGATGATCAAGAAAGTTGGTGACCTCTGAATGGGCAAGGAAGTGGTGGTCACAGCTTGCAAGCAAAAGATGGAGGATGATATGGAAAACAGGGATCTTATAATCAACCAAACCAAGGTGAAGTGGGGCTGCACCAAGTGTGTGCACACAACTGACAGAGGAACACCACTTAGGTGCACTAGGATAGAGTTAGGAAAACCAAGGTTCTCCTAGAGTTGAATTTGGTCAGGGATATGAAATTCCAGGAGAGATTTGTACAAGTACATGAGCAGCATAAGGACAGCTACAGACGAAACATCAGCCTGCTGCGGGAAGTATCAAAATCATACAAAAATGTCAAAGCACCTTGTTTATCTTGCTCTTTCATGGGTAAGACCTGCCTTCTGGAATTCCAGGTCCCTGAGACCCATGGGAAAGTGCTGAAGAGCAAAGACTTACTCTGAGCAAGGAAGGATCAGATTAACAAATTTTTAAGTGAACTAGACCTAATACTTCCATGTGACCTGCTGAGATGCCAGCCTGAGTGCTGAGAGAGCTGGCTTTGTCATTCTCAACTATGTTTGGAAGTTTCATGCTGATGGATGACATTCCAGAGGACTCAAGAAAACAAGTGTCAATGAAAATCCTGTTTTCAAGGACAAGAAGAAGGAGCCAGGCAACTACAGGACTATTAGCTCCACCCTGGTCCTGGTCCTGAGAAGGTGAAGGAAACAATCCTGGAAACTACTATCAAACACAGGAAGGACAAGAAAGGGATTGGGAGTAATCACCATGAATTTACAAAGGGAAAATCATGCACACTAATAGAAATATAGAGGCCAAAAAAACCACAAATGTAGCCACAAACACTGCTGACCACTGAGGAATCCATCTGTTTTCCATCTTACCAGAGCAGAAGAGATTCCATGACTTCACAGCACTTCCTCAGAACGGGAAATAACAGCTCAACAAACAAAATAGAGATTTAATTACTGAAAAACAGAGATATTTAATTACTGAAATACTTGCCCCTGAGTGACCTACTTGTACAATGTGTGAGCAATAAGCAGTGAGAGGGATTCAGGAGAAAACATCTATCAAGAAAATACAGTCTAAATTTTTATTCCTCAGTAACTTACTCTTGCCTGCATGACCATATTCACTTTTATAACTAGAAAACCAAAACAAGTATCAGCCATGCTCAAAACCATACCTTGGATGGCAAAATCCAGAATTAAGCGAGAACTACACAAATACAGGCCTCACTCTCAAGACAGGGTGATTTTTCATCTGTCTTCTGTATCTCCTGAAAGAGACAAAAAATAGTGTGATACACAAACAAGCATTATCACTTGTTTGAAAGGTAGCATGTAACAGGTTACTTTCTATTCCGCTTTCCAAACCCCACCTTACTGAGTAGAGCTGTCTCCAAACCAACACATTAATTCTAACTAGCATTTCTCAAATCTCAGTTCTAGGCCATTTCATAATTTTAATATATATTTAAAAGGATGGAAGAGTTCATAGAAAGGTCTATGTAAAACTGCAGTACTGCCAGTATATTTCAGTTACACACATTTACTTCCTGCTTTCCATAATGGTAAATTAAGTTTTATATTTTTAATTCTACTTCAGCAGCAATAGCAAATAAATGATGTCAATATACTGACTTACTCTGGCAAAGGGATTTTTTTCCCCTCTTTCTCTTGGTTTATGTACCATGCATAAATATATAAAGTGTGAGGAATAAAGAAAAAGGAAGAGCTTAAAAATCTTATAACTAGCAAGGAAGTACTAGATTAAAGTTTAAGTCACAAACAAAGTGAATGTATTACTCTTTCAAACAGAGTGCCAAAAAAAAAAGAGACAACTGATCTCATATAATTTTGTTCTTCAAAAATCATAATTTCTGATCAGAAAAACTACAATATGCAAAGAAAAAACTCTATGAAAATGTTTACAACAAATAAACAGAGAGAAACAATTAAGTGATTTATATCTGCATACACTCAGGATTCATACAATCAATGAAATTCCCCAAGCAAAGTAATTTTCCAATTAAATAATTCAGAAGAAAATACAGAGCACTAATGTCAGAGCTTTTGTGGTTTTCTTCTCTTGTGCCCTAATTTATAGCTATTTCTTCTAAATAAATAACTCAAATCACTTGAAAGCCAACAGTAGCTGTGCCTATGGAAAGTTTCAGCTGCACCAGAACAAGACTGAGTCTTTCCTATGTTATTGGGAATTATTCTTGCCTTTCCAAAAAATACTTTTATTACAGGATGCCTGGACAGCATTTTTTCCTAACCCTTTTCTTTCTGCCCAGTTCCATCAATGATATCATAAACTCAGTATTTTGTTCACTACAACCACCTGAAATATGACACTTCGTGTGACATCCACAGATAATTAACCACAGAATGAGTCAGGCAGGCAGAAAGTCAGTTCCAAGAAATGAGAAAGCTTTGGGCTAACCAGAAATGTTAAGGAGAAATATAAATTGCTTTAACAGACTCATTTGAATGCACCTTTAGAAAAATTAAAAGTACACCATTTTGCATCAAGAATGTCCCAAAACATACTTAGAGAACTGTATTCCATAAATACACCCAATGTGAGCAGTACTCAATTTCTCACCCTAAAAAGCACAACAGTGAGCTCTGGGGACATCCTGTTTCTTGCACATTCATGGGTGTTGCACTGATACACAACTAGAAACTGTGCCTCGCTGTAGCCCTGCTCCTTAAGAAAAGTATGACTTCTGAAATCTGACTTGTAGAACTTATTTCACAAGTCCTTAAACAAGTGCAGAACAACACAGATCAGTAACTTATTGTATTGCTTGCCATGAAAGACAATTTTAAGACTCCAAACAAATTGAACATGCTCCACAATACACATTCTGAGAGTGGAAAAAACACCACTTTCTAAAAAGGCTGTATCCTAAGCAAGTCAGAAAAAAGAACAGAGAGTAGAAACACAAGAGAGCTACACTTCTCATAAAATTTGTGATAACTAGGGCAAGGCAGCAACAATCAACAGCCTTCCCCAATTTCTGGATCCAGTTGCATTTTTACACCGGTGACCTTCCTGAAATGTGAAGAATTACTGCCAAAGATTACTGATACTAAAACAAAAAATATACTTCAATGGGAAAAAAACAAGGTGGACTTCAAGCAATCAACTAAACTTCTTTTACAAACGAGATTTTAAGAAAGTCACGTTATCAAGTGTCAGAACAGAACTGTCATTAAGCTTTTTGCAACACTTCTGTTTAACAAAACAGAATAGGTATCCAAATAGCCAGATAAGCAAAATGAGCAACAGCACATTTGTGCCATGATAAACCCCCACACACCTGGCATTTCTCGTGTTTATACAATGGACTGTTGCAGCACAGACCTTGGCACAAAGCAATTGTTAGGTGTTGACAGGTTTGTTGAGGTAGGCAAGACATTCCCACCCAGTTACTGTTCATTGATAGGATCTAGCAAAGCATACCTGTAAACACCTACTGCATTTATAAAAAATGTGACTTGGGCTTGGATAGGGATGTTGCTTGACATTAACATAGGCACACCTTACCCTCCTTATCACAACTCCATCAAAACTATCTTCACCTACTGCTGACCAAACAGCCACTGGTACACAGATAAAGTATGTTACTTTTAAAACACTACTGCTTGGATCATCAGTCTGAGGCGAACGAAGACCTGCTATTTCATCTGACTAACTACTAGAAATGAAAGTGTGAAACCAAGGGACGCCAAGGCCATCGCACTTCCTTGTGCCGCGCTGCTGGAACACACAAGTAAATCAAAACCTCGTGCCTCTCCTACTACCACCTCAATACCCGCAAACACCCTCCTCCTCCTCTACAGGGCAACCGGCACCCTGCACCTGCCTGAAAGCGACAGCACCATTTCCTTTCACAGCTGAGGAGATAACCGGCAATTCTGCCCAGGGTTTCCCTACCCAGCTCCCTGCAACAGACCACAGCAACGCTGGAGAGGAAGTGCAGGGATGGAGGAAGCCCCGCAGGAGCCCGCGCGCCGCTGCGGGGCCGGGGCCGGGTCGCGCGCGCCGCCCCCCGCCCGGGCACGCGGCGGAACCAACCGTGGGCTTCCGCCGCTCCAGCCGCGCGTGCGCGCTCGGAGCGCCCCGGCGGGCTGGACCGCGCCCCTCAGGGAGGGAGCGGCGGAGGCAGAGCCGCCCTTCGACCCCGCCCGAGCCGACCGGGTTGCCCCTCACGGCCGCGGGGCGTGGGCGTTTCGCCTCGCGTGCGAGAGGCGCAGCCACAGCGGGCACGGCAGGGGTCTGTATACCGAGTGTATGCAGCGCCGGAGGAGCCGCCCTGGAGGGGTGGTCTACCCTGCCCGGTGGGACGCCGGTGTGACCGATCAGCCGCATTTCCCCAGGACTGGAGCTCGCTGTCGCTCGCTCGTCCCCGAGCACAGACTTCAGTCAGCATGAGCCCTTTTCCGTACTTCATTTTTGCGGTGTCCCTTTGCACTCCTGTGAAAAATGAGCCCTGCGGGCAAGGCTTCTGCCTCAGTCTCCAGGCTGCTCCTAGGAGAATCTGGCAGCTGCCCCAGCGAGGCCTCATAGCTTGAAGCTGTATTAACTTAATAGTATAAGCTAACACTGTCTTCCTTAATAGAGACTTATTTTGCATTGTATACCACATAACCATGGTTTCATGGTAAGTGAAAGGCCCCAGCTCGCTGCAAGGAGGACGACACCCCCTGCCTTGCAGATAAGGACCTCTTGCCCTCTGTCTCGTCTCTTGGAGTGTTAAAGCCACCCAGGAAGAACAAAAATGCCTCTGGACTATGAAGATAACATCAGAATCCTGGTACTTTCAACACCTCTAGCAAAACCCTGCTATTATCTGGTATAGGTGGCTGTAGCAAGACCAGCTCTGGGACACCTAAGTCGAGAAAGAATCAGCTGGATGGTGACACCATAGATTTATTGCTGTTTTCCAGAATAGCAGCATGAATGTGGGTTATGTGGTGAGTGGTCGAATGATGTTGTATATAAATGCATGAAAGGGATAAGAACCATTTGTTAAACACAGTGTGCCCTGATTTGAATGCGACACTTTATGCTCATGAATGAAGAACTACTCTTGTAATTCTGTACTTTACATCCTTGCCTCTCTCCTCAATCAGCTCAGACCAGTTGGAACATTTTTATGACATTCAGGTCACTTGCTGTGCTGTGCCCCTTGCTCACATATCACCCTTACCTGTCCACATAAGCCAATCTTCATTTTAAAAAGATAATTCAGACCTGCAAGGGATTACCTTTGGATAAGAGCCACAGACAGCTTGTAACAGAAAAAATTTTCAGTGTTCCCAGCTGGGAATCATGCCTCGAGCACCCATTGCTGATGAACATATATGATCTTTTGGCTACCTAAAGGTACCCCATCTGTGTGAGTGGCATTGTTCCCACTATAAATTGATGTGCTCTTACCCTGGAGCAGTTTTCCTTCACAATGATGGATGAAATAGATGAAGAGTAATGTTGTGAAGATTACCAATGCTGAAAACTCACCTTTATTACTGATCAAATTCTTCCTAAAACTTAACCATAAGATGATTATTCTGAGGGAAAACAAAAATCAAAACACAACAACAACAACAAAAAAAAATCAAAACAGAAACTATTACACAGGGCAATTGTTAACATTTCAAACTAAAGTTGCTCTAACCTGAATAGAGATATTTGTATCAGAAACTGGATGTTGTCTGGAAGGAGAAAGAAGCATGTTCCAGGTAAATCAGAGAAGATCTTTGAAAATAATCTGTATGTCAATAGGAGCAGGTAACACTGAAAATAATGGACTTGTTAATTGGACTGTTAATATGTCTACTAAGGGGAAAAGAAAAACTGGAGAAGTTGTTGTTTTATAAATATTTAAAAATAACAAAAACCAGCCTCTGACTCTATTCCATGACAAATTTCATATATATATTTATGTCTATGTGTAAAAGACCTAATAAGCTGTGACAACTTTTTACTGATTTGAAGAATTAATTTCAATGGGAAAAAAAAACCCAAAACAAAACAAGAAATTTAAAGGAAGCCATGTTCTTGGTAAGTAAAAGTATGTTCTTGGAAGTATAAAAAAAGAATAATAGTGTGATCAATGAAGGTTTCCTATGGAATGAAAAAGAATCAGTCAGTAATATTGTCTTCCATTTGAGTACCAAGCATTTGCATTTCTGCAGTGGTACACATTTAATGGCCAGTCTTTAGCCCTGTAGTCCTGCCAGGCAGGTTATATTTTTTCTATTCAGGAATGTTATGTAAACGTAGGTTGTGGAACAAGGGCAGTGGTGTTTTTGTTTTTGTTTTTGTTGTTTTTTGAGAAAGCACATTGCAGGAGGACATGCAGGCAGTTGTGTGCTGGACTTCCCAACTGAAAAGCCTTGACCTAGAGATATTACCTGACCCTTTTGCCAGAATATCAAAAGATAGATAGATAGATAGATAGATAGATAGATAGATAGATAGATAGATAGATAATGAGTCTTTGTGATGAACTACATTCTGTGTGGATAAACATACCTATGGGAGTCCTAACTTTGCATAATATGGATTTAAATAAAATCCAATATGGATGTATTACAGAAAGCTCATTAGAAGTCTGCAAAATTATTCACCTTCTTCAATGCTGAATATTGCACAATGGCGTAGAATTCCGCTTGGATTTTCTGATGTCTGTGTTGTGTTGTTGCTGTTTATAAATTATCACAGGAGCCACCAGCTGTCATCCTATAAATTTTATTGGCACTCTGTAAATATTAAATCAGCCTACTAAAATCAAGCCATGTGCAGTAACAGCTGAGGCTCTGTTATGGGGAACACGTGCAAGAAAGAGGTGTGCACTGTGACTCCCAGGATTCTTACAGCTTACAAGCCCCTTGCTTCTTGAGGCTATTTTCCAGGATTCATTTTTAGCCCAACTGTGCCCCTTGACCAACATTCAGAAGGGACATTTTCTGTGCACAGATACATACTGAGATGAGAAGTCAGCCTTCTCAGTAGTACTCAGTTTCCTGGGTCCTTCTAAAATTTGTTGCTACCACATTTCTGCAGCAGCGCTGCATTGCTCACTTTCATGTAAACCTTGGTGGCATACATAGAAGACAGTTGTCATTTCTAGAATGGGAACAGAATCCTTGATGTCATGAAGATCTACATCATGAAGAAAAAAGTCTGTGTCAATGAAACAGCATGCTGAAACAAAGCCTGTTGTGGCTCACAAGTCAGTATGTGAGATACTGAGGATGAGGCTGTAGGTATTAAAGGAAAATATGTCTTAGGCTCCATTTTCTCTGTTACTTAATAGCCAGAAAAATCAAAGGCAAGGTATGTTTTCTAATCTGCCTGCCTCAATATGGTGAAATGTAGACATGGTGAAATCTCCTGATCCTGCATCCCAGATAGATTAAGTGGGGTACTAAGGTAGACCAGGCAGTAGTCTAATTTATGGAGTCAGTTTTCATCTTAAGCACTTCAGTGGTGTGAGGAGTTCTGCTCAGATAATGTCCAGCTGCAGATGTCTTAGTTCTTACAATGCCTCTCTTCCTCCAAGAGTTGCTGTCTTTACACCAGGCAGGGCAACAGACTGCTTGAATCTTACACATCTCTGCAGTGAGGTGAGTTTGAAAAAGCTCCAGCAGATACAGCCTTGTTCAGAAGGCAGCTTAGCGACATGCCTGCTCAGTTTGAACACCCTGACTGTGGGCTGCAGCCGCCAGCAGAATGTCAGATTAAATGACTGGTAAAAGGAGCAGTTAAACCAGGAAAAATTAAAATGCCTCAGAAAGGCCCTTAGAGAAACATCAGGCTTGCCCTTTTTAATGTATTATTGTTGTAACTATAATTATTATTATTAATAGTTATTATTATTGTTATTATCATTACCATTATCATTATTAAATTAGTAGTAGTATTTAGTTTCTGGTTATTTTTTTAATTTTCAAGTGAAAATGCAGTTTGCTGATGCCATGGAGCCTGAGATGCTCTAAACAGGACAATTCAATGAGGACAGTTAACCTTTTGTCAATATTCTTGCATTAGGGCCAGCTACAGAGTCTTTTCATCCTCATTCTTTCTCACTTGAGCAGAAGGTGTGTGCACAGCTGTCAGGGAATGATCCCAGGTGAGCTGAAGTTGGTGGTTACATGCCAGATATTCAAGGAGTTAGGTTTAGCACAACAGAAAATGCAAAATATTTATAATTCTTTACCAGTGTTTCCTGTTTCTCCTGGTAAACTGTCTGATGGAGGACCCAAAGTAGCCCAAGTTCCACACATCTTAAAAATGCACCATCTGTCACAGCACACACTTCTGGGTACATTGCACAGAATCTGCTGCTCCAGACTGATCCCTGCAAATCTGTGGGATGGGATTCATCTGAAAATCCTCACAGAGCTAGCTGATGTCATTGCAAAGCCTCTCTCAATGATTTTTCAGTGGTCTTCAGAATCCAGAGCAGTTCCAGCTGACTGGAAGCTGGAAAACATTGCCTGGTTTTTAAGGGCAAGAAAAGAACTTACTTTGCAGAAGACAGAAACTGCAGCGTCCTGTCAGTCTCACTTCAGTACCTGGTAAAGTTATGGTGATTTTTCTGGGAGGTATTGAAAAACACCTGAAGGACAACATGGTTATTAGCCACAGCCAGCATGGCTTCATGAGGAGACAGTCCTGCTTATCAAACCTGATTTCCTTTTATGACAAGGTAACACACCCAGGTGATCAAGGAGGGACAGTTGATGTATTCTTTTTAGGTTTCAGCAAAGCTTTTGATGCTGTCTCTCACAGGATCCTTCTGGACAAAATGTCCAGCACACAGCCAGATACACACATCATGTAACGGGCAAGCAGCTGGCTCAAGGCACAAGGGGTTACAGTGAATGTACCTGCCCCTAGTGGCGTTCCATCCTTGGCCCTTTACTCTTCAACATCTTCATAATGTTGAAGATACTAAGCAAGCAGGGAAGCCCTGCAGAGAGGCCTTGACAAATCAGGGGTCTGGGCAATCACCAACCGTATGAAGTTCAATGAGAGAAAGCAGTGCCATGGAAGGCGCTGGGGGGTCCTGGTCAATGAAAATGTGACTCAGTAAGTG